TCTTGCATTTCTAGTAACTTTGAAGAACCTGAGCTGGATTGACACCTTAAGCAACTATACTACAACCATAACTTGCTTTTGGCTTTGACAAAACAATCCCAAACTATTCTGTTTATCAATATTCTTATTATTAAGCTCTTTTGTTGTTGATTTTCCAAATAGGTATTCTAGACATCACATTAATCTTTTATACAAACACTTTTTCTTTGTTAAATTTGATTTTTTTATCAATTTTAATTCTAGTTATAATGCTAATTTGATATGCTCTATCTGTTGAGTTTAAATACTAGATGGACTTTTCTAAAAAGCTTATAACATCATTTGTTTATTTTTGTTAAGTTTTTTATATTGATTTTTAAAATCTTTAGCCCAAGTTAGTTTTCTTTTATACAACTTTTTTCTTTTGTTAATTTGCCTCTTTTGATAATGATTCCTATCTTATTTTGAAACATAAATTTATAACATGTTGAAATCTAAAAATTCTTTTAATAAAACATGTTTAATTTCTCATCATATCATAATAGCTTTAAAATAGTTTGGTTTCAATCTAAAAACACAATAGAAAATTAAAGTATGGTGAGGTATATGCATGTGAGCGTACTTAACATGTCAAATAGTCAGTATAGTCAGTAGTTGCTTCAATATTTTGGTCGAAAAAAATCGGGTGGAAAAAGTGAAGTTCAAAAATAATACTTCTACATGATGCAATTTAAAGTATGGTGTTGAGAGTTAAAAAATCTTATTATCTAATTTAAATCAATTTTTCCGTCCTAATCATACTTAATATTTTTTATTTAATGAATATGCTGATGCAGATTAATCAGATCGAGTTTTTTAATCCCGTGTGGACGCCCTCAATGCGTTATGCCATCAACTTTTATATATTATAGATTGATAATGGTGGAATTGTTTTAATTATTAAATTGAGTTGTTATAGATTTTTTTAAATTGATAATTGATAATGGTTACTTTTTTTTTATACATCTATTGTTAATTTTTTTATTTACCTTTTAAAATTTTAAACAATATTAAAATTTTCTGATTTAATAAATATGTTGATTTGGATCAATCAGATTGAATTTACTTTTTTTGACATAATTTGTTAAATTAACTTTTAATATTTTAATTATACTTTACAATTTTTGGTTTGATAAAAAAGCTGATGTGGACCAATCAAATTAAATTTTTTAATCTCATGTGGACGTCCTCAATGCACTATGCCATCAACTTTTATATATTATAGATGTAAAAGTTTGTCCTCACTAAACTTTGAGCCTGACAAAAGAAAGATAAAAAATCAACCAACAACAATCATGAGCCTTGTGAAATAGAGCATCGTTTTAAAACTCATAGTAAAATATGAATAAGATCATGAATAGAGCCTTTTGGAAAATCAGAGCTCTTCGAAACATAAGCTCTAAACAAGTTCAAATCAAACGCAGATAAAGCACATATCTTTCAGCCAATAATATCTTGTAATTAGCTTGCAAATCCATGTCTTTGAACAAAGAGAAACAAAAAGGAAAGCTCAGTTCAGAACAGGCGAACGGAATTCCAACAATTAGTACCAAAGCTATAAAATCCACACATGGTACAGTCTCTATACAGCAGCCGGTCTAAGCAAACATGAAGACAAACAAACAAACAAAATTACTCAAACTATAACGAAAACCCTTCAACTTCAAATGTAGAATTCAGATTTTAAAACTTGAAGCTCACTTCCTCCCAAGTAACTTCCATTGAGTATTAACGCCTTGATATGACCTTTTTCATTTCAATGAGAGCATATCTGTAAAAAGAAACAAACAAAAGAGTCATATCTTTTCGTTTGCAGTCAAACTTAAGGTGTGAAAAACTGAAGGAAGAAGACACAAACCCTTCTGAATCGCTCCATCTCAAGCCTACATCTAAATTAAAGAAACATTGGTGTAGGGCAACAATTTGTTTTTTTATTATCTTTTTTATTATTATAGGGTAGCAATTGTTTTTAAAAAAATCTATTTTTATTATTAATTATAATGTTATATTGTATTAATCTCAAATATAGATATGGGTATTACATATATATGGTTTTACAAAATAGAAGTTAACAATAATAAGACAAAATGATATTAATTTATTATCAAAGAATTTAGCATTAGAGTAATTAAGGGGGAGAATTAGGCTATGTAATTTCCATCTTTCATATTTTCTGCTTGCGCTGATCTAACATTAAAAAAAAAAGTTTATCTATATAAAAAATTTTAAATTATATTTCTCCAACAATCAGTTACAATTAAAGTAAAAATATTATTTTTTGTGTTTTCTTCTGTTCAATTGTTTTATTATTTTTATAAATAGTTTTTACCAATAATTAGTAGATAATTTTAAAATTTTGGTCAATAATTATATAGAAAAACAAAAAAAAATCAGTTTTATAACTATATTTTATTTTATTTGGTTTTATTTTATTGTGTTTACTATATAAAAATCATATTTATTACTATACAATTTTTTTTAAATGAGGGTATTCTTTTTTTTTTATGTCAGCCATTAGGGTTGGCACGGCTCTGGTCTCAACCCAGCTGCATCATCAAGGCTGCATCAGCCGAATTCGTGATCACACCTGTAAGCCACCAGATCATACAGTATTGATATCGTTTTAATGAATGTGAACACCTCGACGTCGTCTATATTGTTAAGGATCCTAACATCGCCCATCAATGATCTGTCGTTTCTCAGATTTAAAAATTTAGAAAAACTTTCCTAATTTGGGAAGGGTTTACTAATTTTTCAGGAAAACCATCATAAATATGTATGATCATTTTCTTAATGCATTTATAATCTATTTAAGTAAATAATTTTCTATGATAAGAATGCTTTTTAAAAATTTTGAAAAACTTTCCTATTTTGGAAAAAATTCCAAAATATTTAGGAAGAATTTTCTATTTAAAAAGCTTTCTGAAATCGTATGAAATGATGTTTGATTTTAGTGTTCTATAGGATCTTCCTAAAAGATCACAAAACATTGACAAAAAAAACATTTATGAAGACCTTCCAAATTAGTAAAATTGGAGAAACAAACAAAAAATTGTAAAACTGTAAAAGTTTTAGTTTTCCTGTTATTTTTGTCCTGAAAACTTGTTTTCATGGAAAATATGAGAATTTCTCTATATTGTACTCATGATTCTTTTTCATTCTTTGTGTTTTAAGAAACTATAATGTTAATATGTTCCCTATTAAAATTTAGAACGAACAATAATTTTACCATTGTTAATCCTTCTCAATAATTGTTACTTTTTCCTGTTCATTCATATTTTTAATTTAATGATCACGAGTTCAAGTCTAAAACTGAGTAACCAATTAACAAATACTAGGTGATCAGTCTGCACCATGTGCAAGCTATAAAATATTTTATATGTTCAATCACGATTAATATAGTATTGAAGATATTTTATTTGTATATAATTAATTATATATTAATAATAAATTAATAAACATTTAATAATAAAAATAACGATAAATTAAATATAAAATATTATATATTTCATTAAAAATAAAGATAAAAAATATTAACTAAGCTTTTAAAATATTTTTTAGATAAAAAATGTAAATATGATAACTAAATAAATGGAAAATCATTAAAATATATAATAATTTATTTAACTTTTATTTTTAGCCCGCATGCATTTGCAAGTATAATTTTTTTATAGATATAAATTAGTTGTAATATTTAAGTGTTAATTAATTTTCTTGTACATTATGTAAATGTTATGTTTTTATACATATACAATTTTAATGTTCAACAACAATCACACAAAATTATATCTTTTGTGTCTTTTGAAAACTTTTTATTTTTCTAGAGTTTATAATAACATATAATTGCAAATATAAAAGTTACATTAAATAATAATTAAAATTTTATAACATGTTTTGAATATTATCTATATAATACTTTCTTTTTCTCTTTACATAATATAATCTTGCCAATATATATATATGTTTAGTATATATCTTTCTTTGACCTTTATCTAAATAAATCAAAATGAATTTTACCATATTTATTTATCCTAAGAGCGGGTAGATGTATGGAACATATCAAATAGGAACAGAACAACTCTTAATTTGAGGAAGAAATTACAAATTAAAATAATAACAACCTTTTTTCTCTAAATTAGAAGATTTAAAATAAAAGTGGGTTAGAGATGCTTTAGACCAAAAATATAGCCTGATATATTTACATAAAACCAAAGTCATAAATATTCATTTTTACATTTACTTATACTTTTTATTCATATATGTAATATTGTAATAAAAACGTTAGCTAAGATGATACTTATAATTTATTTTTCTATCTGTTTTTTTATTTATAATTTTGAGTTTTTGCTATATAATGAAAATTCATTCACATATGATATAAACTATTTTTTCTTATTTAAAAATGAGATTTATTTAGTTTTAACTTAACTAATCAAAATATTTTGTTTATTTTAAAAATTTTATCATGTCACATTTATGAGGTGACATTGTTTTATACTAACTTTTGTTATGCAAGCGAGACATCATCTGTTTCTAGTAAATGTTCTTGTCAAATAATGTATAGGATAGAAAGCTACCATTTTAATTTTCCTTTTTTATAGTCTAAATATAGTTTCTCTAGTACTGGATAATCATAATAATAACCTAAATAATTTTAATACTAAACAAATACTCCAACAGTCCAAAATTTCTAGTATTACAAATCATGCTCATTTTTATCAAAAAGAATACTAATGTTTAAATCATTTTATCAAAAAGATTAAACATTAATAGTTTAAAAATACATTAACTTTCATTAAAAAAACTTTAAATAAAATATGACATTTATCATATTTGAAAAGAAAAAAATTAAAGAAAATCCTGCTTTAAAACTAAGATAAAATAATAAAAAATTAAAGTAGCAGTAATTTTGGTATCTTATTCAAACGCGTAACACTTTTCAATAGATTAGAATTTTTATGTTAATATTATAATCCTTTTGGGAAATTTTGAGAACTGCCACTCCTGAGATTCCTTTTTACTAAACTACCATCACTAAAACTTCAATCCAAATTACCATCGATTAATTGTATATCTAGACCATTTTGCCATTAACTATTATGTTAAACCAATATTATTATTATCAGCGACGAGTTTCATCGGTGGGATCTGACAATGGTTTTCTCTAGGAACTCTGCAATCGAGGTCGGTGTCAATTCAGATCTCGCCCGTGTTTTCCTGCGTAAACTTCAGGAGTGGTTTAGTAACGATGGATCTTCTCTGTCGACTACTGGTAAGAGATTCAATTTCTTCCTTTCTGTCTAAAATTTGCGGCCTTCTCTGATTTTGTTGTTCGTTTCCTGGGAAATTTGTGATCTTCTCTGAGTGTGTAAGTTTGATTTCTAGCTAGCTTCGCTATATAAGCTTCGGTAAATTATGGTTCGACAATTCAAAGCTTCGAATCTGTTTTGGAATCGATCTCATTCTCCATAATACAGAAATTAATAAACCCTAGTTGTTTCTGTTTTAATCATGATTAATCTAATCGGAAAAAGTGAGAATCTAATTGTTGCAGTAAATTGATGGCAGAGTACACAACTTTTCATGTGCTATATGTAATCGAAAAGTTTCAGTTTGTAGATTCTCAGAAACATTCATACTTAACACACTTTTGCATATTTTAAATGTATCAATTTGCTTCATTGCATTGCAAGTTTATATGGCTTGCATTCAGCATTGAAGATCTTGTCAAAGAGGTGACTTCACAGGTACAGTTGAGCAGTTTCACAATTTTCAGCCAAGATTACTATTTGTTATAGCAGGTCCGAGTTTCCTTTGTCTTTGCGGAAGACGAGGGAGAATACCATATGCATATAGTTTCTTTTCTTGGAGAACATCTCTTGAAAGTAAATTGTAGTGTGGTAAGCTTCTCTCACTGTCACTCTTCTCATTGTTTCATCCTTTTTCTCTTCTTTGTATTGTTTTGGTGACGTCTCTTGAGGAATGATTAAAGATAAGTTCTTTGATGTCTTAGTAGTAAGCTCTAAAACCATTTGGCTATTCTTAGTATATGTTCTGTTTTCAGGCCATCCCTGTATCATACACAGAGATATTAAGTCATTTAACAATCTTCTAGAGGACAAGTACTCTACTATACTTGGCTTTTCAGGGTTTTCAGTTACATGATGGCTTTACGAGTATTTTGATCGCTCATGTTTTGTAGTTTTCTGACTTTGGTCTTGCAAGATTAGCTCTTAACTGGAACACTCACATCACCACACGAGTTACTGGAACAATTGCCCTCCATGGTGGATTCTATTTGTTTAAAAAGGGAAAACAAACCCAATGTTTTGGTTATTGTAGACAATGTATCTAAAATTGATTTGGATTTTATCAAACGATATATTACTCATTTATAAATATTTAAAAAGAGCTTATTAATCTTTATAATAACTAAATAATTGTTGGATTAGTGATTCCAGATATATATAACCACTAAACCATATCTAATTGTTTTATGTAAAACCATATAGCTAATAAACCATATCTAATTGTTCTATATAAAACTTTATTTTTTTATAAAAAATATGGATTAGTTATTTATAAAGATTTAAAAAGAGGATGGACTTTTTTTAATGAAAATTTAAAAACTTCTTCTTAAATATTTATAAATGAGTATATAATGAAATCACAATGTGTAATACTCGAATGATTGTTTGGCATCGTAGCTACACACGTTACCAAATTATCTAGTAATATTTCCAATTTTGCAAAATCTTCTAAAATGATTTGAAAATCTTTTTTTAAATCTTTTTAAAAGTTTAATAGACACATAACAACATCATTTGCACAATTAACGAATGGGTATGATGATTACATATCTCTACCAAAAATCTGGATGTCTAGAGTTTGATTCAAAAAAGTTCCTTTTAAAAGGAATAATTCGTCATCTTCTACAAACACAATTGGGTTTTAACATCTCTACTAAAAAGATTTTTTTGAATCAACAATGTTAAAACCTTTTATAGATGCTATTTTATATCAATGATGTTGAAACCGTTTCAACATCATTGATATAAAATAGCATCTATAATATTCTCTCAGATTTTTTTGGGCCTATGTTTGAATTTGGATTTAAACCAAAAAAATTACATTCATAAATATTTAGATATAAGTTTTACAGAATGAACAAATGGTTGTATGATCTGATAATTACACATCTCTGCTAAGAATCTGGATGTCTGGGTTCGATTATGCAAAATCCATAAAAGGATTTAAAAAACTCTTTTTAAATCTTTTTAAAAGTTTACTAGATACATAACAACAAAAAAATTTATAGATAACTAATCAGTGTGTGTGGTTTGGTGATTACAACTTATAAGCATAAACAAATTTTTTATATTTTTAGTTTCAGACATAATATATTTTTATGAAAATTTAAAAGCTATTTTAAAAACCATTATAAATGACTATATAAATACATAGTATATATAAATAAATAAATTCTCACATACAACAATTGTGTGTGTGGTTTGGTGGTTACAACTTACAAGCATATACAAGTTTTTCATATTTATAGTTCTAGGCGTAATATATTTTTATAAAGATTTAAAGCTTTTTTAAGAACTATTATAAATACTATATAAATGCATAATATATAAAAAAAAAATTCCCACATTCAACAATTGTGTGTATGGTTCAGTGGTTATAAATTACAAGCATATACAAGTTTTTCATATTTATAGTTCTAGGTCTAATATATTTTATAATGATTTAAAAGCCTTTTTAAAAACCATTATAAATGACTATATAAATGCACAGTATATATAAACAAATAAATTCTCACATACAGCAATTGTGTGTATGGTTTGGTGGTTACAATTTACAAGCATACATAAGTTTTTCATATTTACAGTTCCAAGTCTAATATATTTTTATAAAGATTTAAAAGCCTTTTTAAAAACCATACTCATTTATAAGGATTTTAATAGAAGCTTTTCAATCTTTACAAAAACTAAATGATATTCGATTTAGGAATCACGGAAACTTATAAAGATGTATAACCACTAAATCATACTCATAATTGTTGTATATAGGAAACTATTTGTTTAAAAAAATGTTTATTTACAATACTCATTTGTAAGGATTTTAAAAGAGGTTTTCAAATCTTTTAAAAAACTAAAAAATATTCAAACTAAGAATTTTGAATACTTGCAAGGCCGTATAACTACTGAAGCTGGTTGTATATTTTTTCTATAGGCTTTGCAATAATCACTAAACCATTGTATATATGATTTTAGTTGTTTATAGAGAATATATATTACTCATTTATAAAGATTTTAAAAGATGTTTTTAAATATTTATAAAAGAATTAAAGACCTCGATCGCACGACACAACATATATAACCCTTTTATAATGTTTTATTAACATATTAAAAAGAAATATTTATTCTGATGTTACAGAAAGGTTGGAATATTACTAGCATATTATACATTTTCTAAAAATTACTCGGATATTTTGTGCTCTTGTGTAATTACAATTAACACCCTTGATTAATTTGCGATTTTTTAAATTAAAAATAATTAACAAAAAATTAGTTTAATCTATGTTATTAAGATAAAAAAAAATAAATCTATGTCATTAACAATAATTATGTCATCAATGATCAAAAGCGAGGGAAACTGAATCGTTCTCTTTTGTTACAAAAAAACACCCTCGGCTGGCGTGCATCCCAAGCTATCTGTGTTCCTCATATAGATCTCATCCATGTAGGCTCTTTCTGCGCAAGGAACGAAATCAGGAAGTGGCACACCGGCTTAAACAAACATCGAAGTGAGGAAGCCTCCTATCAGCGCCGAACTCGCCTTGTATCTCATCGCCCATGCCTTGTACTTCATCAAAGAAGCAGCTAGGATGCAACCATAGTTAACATTATCTCCGAGCTCGTCCTCCATTGGCTCGTCGTTCTCCTTAGGATCACACAACAGATGCTTAACGCCTTGGAACAAGAAGCACAACTCGTTCTTGGTGACTGTAGGAGCCACGGACCGTCCACTGAAGGTGTTGGCGATGAGCTTGAGTGTGTATCTCAGCACTGGACTCCTGACCCTCTTGATCTTTGCCGTGCTAGCCTTGTAATCATCGTTGCTGATCAGATCCCACAAGTCGTTGGCTTGAGTAAAAGAAGGGAACTCAATTTGCTTGGCATCAGCTTTCAAACCGTAGGCTTGGCATAACTCAGGAACAGAGATATGATAGGCTTGTCTCCTGATCTTGAAGGTAGGATGGCCTTGAGAAGGAGTGGGGATACTCGGATTCTCGTAGGTGAACTCCAAAGTGGCCAAGAAGTCCAAGGTTGCCTCGGGATAAGTTGGGCAATCCATTCTTGATAAGCAATGAAGCCCAATGTTTTTGAGAAGCTGATCAAAGTCTCCCAAGATCCCCATCTTAGCCAAAAGATCCTTACTCGCGAACTTTGTGGGATCGAACCGAAGCTTCTCCAGCCGTTTCTTGGCGTGCTTCTCCTCTTTGGTCCATCTAACCCTCTCCTGAACTATTTCTTGAGCTTCTCCTTCTTGTGCTATCTCTTCTCTCGTTCTCTTTGGGGCCATGGTACCTAAAACACAATTCTCAAGCAAGAGAATGAGTAAAGACGGCGAATGTTGAGAGAAAGACAAGGTAGAAGGAAAAACTTTTTAACAATTACCCTAGATTTTTGGGGAATTTATAAAAATATTAGCTAGATAATAGAGAAGAAATTCTAGAGATAAGATTAAATCTAGAAGTTTTCCTAATATCTAGCTATTTTTAAAAATTTGTTAAACTCCCTAACAACTAACTATCAACCAAAGCAAATAAAAAGAAATTTTCTAAAAGATATTAAAAAATGAACCGAAAATACATTTGCAAAGATTGAAAGCAGATGTTGTTAGCCTTTAGGAAAAGAAAATCACACTCTCTCTTGCCTTAGAAATCTGGAAATACAAATGAGAGAGAGTGTGTGGTTTCATGGAAATATAAAAGCTAACAAAGATATATAACCATGGGCAAAACAAGTGGTTTCTGACAAAAGTGTGGTCAAGACACAACTTTCATGGTCAAAGATGCTTGCCTTGACCACAATTCAAATTTAAAAACAGGAGGGAAAGAAGAAAAGAGGGAAAGAATTCACTTACCTCGGCACGAGATCGAGTCCATTTGGTCGATCTAGGACTCGATCTCATGCCCATGTTGACTGGAATCGAGAGGTTTGATCGATCAGGGACTCAATACAGATTACATCGAGTCTTAAATCGATTGTACCCTCTCGTTCCATGATTTTTGGTCACTTAGGCTGTACTCCTTGGATCGAGCCTCATAGTCGATTTGGGGGTCGTTTGAGCATAGATCGAGTGGCAGATCGAGTAGACTGATCGATCTAACCTCGAGGATCGAGTGAGGTCAGTCGATCCACACCTCGTTTGCATTTCAAGCCAAACATATCGATGGTTTATCCTCTCATGATCGACTGACTCACTCGATTGTCTACTCGATCTCGTCTAGATCAACTGACTCCTCTCGATTCACTAGCTCGATCTAGTAAAGATTGAGCTAGGATAAGTCGATCTAGCACTCGATCTCTAGCCTTATACTTATCTCTTCTCGCTTTTTTTGACTCCAAGAACATGGTCTACAATCCCTCATCCTTTCACCTACACACTTAAACATAAAAGGCATAAAACTGAAATAGAAAGAAAGCAAAAGTATGTACAAGATAGACATGGGAATTCCTCGCAAGTGCGCTTTTGTTAACGTCTTTAGCTAGACTTTACTTGGTTTAGGCCTGAGGTGGGTCTTGGAGAAGCACGGAGGTGCTCTCCTTGCTGTAATCACTCGCCAGGTAGGGCTTGACTCTGAGCCCATTAACCGTGAAAGCATTACCGCTCTTGCCAACCAATGTAACCGCTTCATAGGGTAGAACCTCCTTGATCTCAAACGGTCCACACCATATAGACTTGAGCTTCCCTGGAAATAGCTTCAACCCCGAGTCGTAGAGTAGCACCAGACTGCCTTCTCTTAACTCCTTATGAACCAGCTTCTTGTCATGAACCGTCTTGGTCCTCTCCTTGTAGATCTTAGCACTTTCGTAGGCTTCTAACCGTAGCTCATCAAGCTCATGTAGCTGAATCAGCCGTTTCTCCTGAGCTGTCTTGAGGTTGTAGTTCAGCTGCTTCACTTCCCATAGTGCTCTATGCTCCAACTCAACAGGAAGATGACATGCCTTGTCGTAAAGAAGAGTGAAAGGAGTCGTGCCTATAGGAGTCTTGAAAGCGGTTCGGTAAGCCCACAAAGCATCATCGAGTTTGACCGCACAATCTTTTCTAGTAGCCCCA